GACGATAATAGCTCACCATACCCAAAAACACACGCAGAGCTTTAAATGACGCTGGGACCGGGAAGTCTTGGATCGCCTGTACCTTTTCAGGTAGTGGGCGAATGCCTTGCTCGTCGATAACGTGTCCCAAAAATTTTAGTGAACGAACGCCAATTTGGCATTTGGCCAGGTTGACTGTCATCGAATGCTCTGACAGTCTGGCGAAAACCTGTTTCAAGTGGTTAAAATGGGTGTCTTCGTCTGGACTAGCGATTAGTATATCGTCTAGGTAGGCATAGGCGAAATCGAGTCCACGTAAAACATCGTGAATAAAACGTTGGAAGGTTTGTGCTGCATTGCGAAGACCAAAAGGCATACGGAGGAACTCAAAAAGACCAAACGGTGTAATGACGGCTGTCTTGGGAACATCATCAGGATGAACCGGGATCTGATGATATGCACGCGTCAAGTCAAGCTTACTGAAGATAACCGAGCCTTTTAAAGATGCAGTCAAGTCGTGAATGTGAGGGACTGGGTAACGATCTGGAATCGTTTTAGCGTTGAGCCTTCGGTAGTCACCACAAGGCCTCCAGTCCATGCCATTGTTCTTGGGTACCACATGCAAGGGTGAAGACCATGGACTGTTGGATGGTCTGATTATTCCCATTTCAAGCATGTGTTCGAACTCGGCTTTTACAGCACGCAGTTTCTCCGGGGATAATCGCCGTGGTTTCGCAAATACTGGAGGGCCAGTCGTCGTTATGTGATGAGAAACGTTCGAAGTCACACAAGGGACACAACGACTTGGCTTAAAGACATCCGGAAAGGACTGAATGATAGACGCGTAGGGACTAGAAGCGTCCGTCGTGCAGTACACGGGACTGAGGGGCGGCGTCTTTGTGACTATACCGGAAACAGAGAGTGTTGTGGTAGAATCTATCAACTTATGCTTGCCAGCATCTACCAGCAGCTGATAGTGCTGCAAGAGATCCATACCAATAATGCCGGTGGTCACATCTGCCACTATGAAAACCCAACGAAAGGGACGACGCAATCCAAGGTTGAGATCGAGGAATCTCCGACCATAGGTTGTGATGGGCGAACCGTTGGCGGCACGAAGTTGCAGAGACATTGGCCGCAGACGCTCTTCCTTCGTAGGTGGGATGACGCTAGCTTCTGCCCCAGTGTCAACTAGGAAGCGTATCCCAGAATGTCGATCAGTGACGAAGAAGAGGCGACATGGAAGTGGCTCGCCAGCGACGTTAGTCGCCGTCACGTGCTGGCTCACACGTTTCCCGCCTGGTTAGCCTCGAAGGTGCAAGGTCGAGTGCACTTTTTGGCATTGGCACCATAACGTTTATGGTACCAGCACAACCTGGGTTGTGATTGTCGCGATTTGGAACGTCTGCTATCGGTACGGGAGGCAGACCTGTTGCGCGAGCGAGACGTGCGACCTTTGTAAGAACTACCAGACCGCATTTCGTTCCTGATGCTGCACAACTCTTCATACAATTTTGAGATGTGAGTTATAACATCGAAACTTGTTGGCTCAACAGCCGAGGGAGGATTTTTGAACGAATCCGTGGCAGTAGACAGTGCAGCTGAGATACTAGTGTTGGGTTTCGTAGCATCCACAGCTCTGTCAGCCGCTTCCGCCAACTCTATTAAGGGACACTTATGGAAGGGTGCGAGGATCCCTTGAACCGACTGTGGTAACCTCTGTAACCACAGTTGCTTGAGAAATGCTTCATCAATGTTGAAGTCAGCAATCAGCTGCTTCATCTGACGAAGCAGTTGCGTCGGCTTGCGATCACCCAGATGCACATCCCTGAAAAGTTCTTGCACTTTCTGCTGGTCAGTAAGTGCAACACGTTTGATGAGGGCGGTTTTGAGGCGATCGTAAAGATTCGGTGCTGGGTCATCTAGCACATCTGACACGTCTTCAATCACATTTTCCGGTAAGCTGACGATGACTAAGTTGGACTTAGTTTCTTGTGATTGAATGTGTCTCAAGGCAAACTGAGCTTCCACATGGGAGAACCATGCAGATGGTCTGTGGGCCCAGAAGGTGGGAAGCTGGAGGGTTATGGCCATCTGCGCAGTCGAGTCGTTATCCGCCATTGATCAGGGAATTAACGAGGCACGATAGTGATAATAAAAAAATTACAATGCAAAAATAACCAATGAGGAGTGCAATAATAAAAAAAAAAACGCTAGACGTGCCAAAAACAAAATTAGGCCAGACAAATCAACGCAAGAGAACAAAGGTACTAGACAAAATAAGAAGTGATACTCGGGCTCACCAATTTTTGTAGGGATGCGTGTTACAATTCCGTAACGTTTGATCAACCCTACTTAATTTGATGTGCTCTAGTACCTGCTTAACCAGTACTTTACCTAACGTGTAAGTACTGGTAACAAAACACAAATCAAAAGAACTGATACGCAATGTATTTAAAGGAGCTATGTATTTAAGGTAAATGTTATAATAATGAATGAGGGAAAAGTTTAATCAACTTATCTGGCTTGTAAGGCTGAACTAGGGACTCGGAGTACGTGCGTGGTGATCAGCACAATGGAGCGCAAAAATGGCGTCCAAGCCTGCTCGGATGCATGCTCGTTAAAACAAAACTTAAAACACCCTAAGCATCCGGAGGCAAGCTAGAGATTTATTTAGTTAATTTAATTTAAACTATTTATTTTAGCCCTAGTTATATTTTGGTGCCAGGAAGGTGCACTACAAACTAAAACAATTTCAACATCTATTTGTACAAAATATTTGCATACTCAAATCAGCATTGGCAGAAAATTGTCGGTTTGATATAATGATATCAGGAATATGAAGTGATTGAAAACACGAATTGAGTGAATAAATAGGTGAAGCTAAGTTTGCCAATATATAGAGGGATTAGTTGGATATTCGAGAGCGGAAGTTGGACGAGAGCTGGGGGAGGGGGAACAAGCGTATTCAACGCGTTAAGAAAGCCTACACAAAATGTGTGAGGTAATTAGATATATGTCAATTAAGAGGTAATGTGAGTAGAGTTCATATAATTAGTTCAGGGGTGTGGAATGTAAATGACAAAAAAGCAAAGCAGAAATTAACTTGTTTGAACCGACAATGTTTATATGAAGATCGTCAGTAAAACAAAATTCTTTGCCATAATAGTCAGAATATGATGACTGTTTCTTTCTCAGTACGTAAGTTTGGTTGTCGTTAAATGGGCAACGCTTCAGCAAAACGCAGTAGATTTGAATTCGTCTGTTTATTAATTATTTTGAACGATTTCTGAATATCGACTTCATGTCCACCATCTCAGTCACAAATTCCCTGGAATATGCTCAGAAGTGCTATCACAAATCCGTCTTTCTGTTCGTCTAATGTATGTTCTTTGGTAAGTACATGTGAACTGGTAGATGCTGTTGGAGGTAACATGAAGGGGGGACTTGTCAACCTTTGATTATCTCAGTGAGCAACTCTTTCGGTAGATTGTCATTACCTGGAAGCTAGATAAGCCCTTTTTTGAGGCGGCGGTAACTCTACCGGGAACGTCATCACCTTTGGAACTGAGATTTAGGAAAACAAGCATCTTTATGACAATATCACACTCTACGGTGACAATCATCATATTGTTTGCACATGACTGTCTATTGAAACAAGTTAGTTTTTTTTACATTTACACCCTTGACCTAATATTGGCAAACTTAGCTTCACCTATTTATTCACTCAATTCGTGTTTTCAATCACTTCATATTCCTGATATCATTATATCAAACCGACAATTTTCTGCCAATGCTGATTTGAGTATGCAAACATTTTGTACAAATAGATGTTGAAATTGTTTTAGTTTGTAAGCAGGTGATGAGAAACCATGGAATAAAGCGTATCCGTGCTATTCAGTTGTTCTTGCTGTATTTAAATTCATGAACGGAAAGGACAGTATGAAAATTCAAGTTTTCAGTTTATACTAATCATAATTAACTTGTTTAGCTAAAGACATCATTCTTGGTATCTAGAGCATGAACATCGGTTGAAAACAAAAAGATGGGGATTATCGTCATATCACATACATATATAGCTTTTACTGGAACTCTGTTTGATGTTTTAATTGAAGCGTGACTTATTCTTTTAGTGAATGAGCCTTGTAATCGAACCGTACGGTAAAAGAAAAAACATCTAGATGGAAAACGATTAGTACAGATGATGAAAAGAAGCGTGGACTGTGGACAGAATAATCAGATGTAAGAGAAGGTCAGTGACATCTGCCTAATATACGCGATGCCCTGGCATGAAATTGAAGCTGTTGAATAGGACTTCAGTCTAATCATTTCTACTAGTGCTCACGCCCTACCTGACAGACTTACTAAAAGTTTATAAACTTATAAACTACTATCATGTCTTTCGTCCATACTGCAGGATACTTTCTTACTTTTACTATCCACAATGTTCTCTGTTAGATGGATAATAGGACCGCATCTGTAATGTATGCCTTAGTAGACCAAGACTCTCAGCTATTTCGGCTAACTTGCTTTCGACGCCGAAATCTCCATTTCATGTCTGAGAAGCTTACTCAGTTGTCAGTGAAATAATGTGAATTCCTTAGTTTTTTGCTACCTTCAAACACTACTTACATAAAAGCAAAGGGAAACGCCTAACACAATCAGTTTTCTAGCTAATCAAAAATAAGTAGAGAATTCACTACTAGCAACCAAAACATTCCGTTGTTTACAAACACAAATCTTCCCTAGGTGGTGTTCTCCACACTTTAATTCTTCAAATGCAATTCAAGACACTGATGAGAAAGTATTATCAATTAAATTTTATTGAGAACTCAATATTTCAGCCAAAAGAATATTAACTCCGATAGTGCATGTAAACAAAGTCAAATTTTCACGGGTTAAAAGAAAATTCACCTTTTGCTTAAAATAAAGAAATCTGTGTGTACCAATTCCAACGGCATCCATTGGATAAAAAATTCTTTACACTGAAAAACTTATCACCAATCAATGTACTTGTGGTTTTAACGATTTAGCTTTGAGTTTTGCGGTATCCAATCGAACTGAAAGTCATACTTGAGTGAACATTTCTCCATTATACGCCAAAAAAGACCACGAAGATACTTATATTTTGGTTCTTCTTCAAAAGCAAGGTTACGGCAATAATTCAGATATTTAGCGAATTCCTCTGGTAAGCCTTGACATAGTGTCTCGGTACGCACACTTAATTTTGTTTTGTAAATTTTACGGAACTTTTCACGCTTACTATCCGCTTGAAGTCCTTGCCATGGAAGATTTCCCTTAATGAAATACAGAAATACATAACCTAGCGATTCTAAATCATCTCTTCTAGACTGTTCGTAACCAGCATGAGCATTTATACTGCAATATCGTGCAGTTCCCGTTAAATTTCGGAAATCTCGGAATGCGCAGTGTTCTTTCGATTTAGGATCCATATAGTATTTGGATAATCCTAAATCAATTATATAAACAGTATTAAATGCGGGTCCAACACCCATGACAAAGTTATCTGGTTTAATATCACGGTGAATAAGATAATTTCGGTGTAATATTTCTACCCTTTTTAACATTTGATCAGCTAGCATCGCTACAGTTTTCAGTGAAAATTTACAGTCACAATAGACATGCAGATCTTCCAAACTTGGCCCTAAATACTCCATTACAAGTGCACAGTATAGATTTTGCACACCGTCACGACCAAACCAGAAAACTTTAGTTATCCCTGGATTATTACTTAACGCTCTCAAACAGTTGACATTCTGTTTGAAGCTGAATAGAAGCATCTGGTCTATAAGCTTCCAGTTTGACAGCTGCTTGCTCTCCAGTCCTTTTATTTAGAGCTAAGAATATTTCCCCAAAAGATCCAGCTCCTATGCGTTTAATTAATTTCCATTCTTTATTGACAATAAATTCTGGATTACTACCCAGTGAAATCTCATTGCTTTCAACCAATGAACTCGATGACTTCATGTTACATAATTTTCTGTTGCTATCCAAACAAAGTTCATAATTCATATGACTACAGTCAAGTTTGACCAAAAAATGAAACTAAATAGAATATAAGGGGTTCCTTCTGTTCATCATGAGCAAAGGTCGTATTGTAAAGAGACTTCACTTTTGAATAAGTTGGCAGACAAAAATCAATTCAAAAAAAATCAATAATTTACATTAGCCAGGATATTTATACATTTACCAAGCCGAGATTACGGAATAAGATACATCCTAAGCGCGCTATATTTTGAGGCCTGGTGTAACTAGAAAGTATCACTATTATTCTGTAAATTTATTTAGGCGTGTAACCAGTTTACCACTTCCTGTTACACACATAAACACTAGTACATAAAGTTTATGGTAACTGAAAATGTCCAGTGTTGCGTATTTTCAGTATCTAAGATGATATAATCAGCAGTTGACTGTTATTGGATGAACTTTAAAAAGTGTATCAAATGTCGGATAACAGAATTAAGTACGAAGCTTGGAAGCTAGTCGCTTAGTAGAAAAAAAGCACTAAGTAATTTACCGTCTACGGAACAGACCAAACGACTGGATGTGTTTCCTGACTGAAACCAGTCATAAAGAAAGCATGTGCCTTGATATGTTCCGGTTTTATATTTAAACTGTATGAGCCAATGAAGCTTACTAGCCACATAACCTTCTTTGTCTAAAGCTCAATTTTTGACCAAATCATTGGTAGCTCGAACATCCGTCAGCGATACTCCGAGGAAAAGTATACTTGTAACCTCATATCTTTCATCGCTGACAAAACACAGTATGTACATAAGTATTTCTACTTATCGTTACACTTTTGCATTATGTTTCATGCCGGAAGAAAAAATGATCTTTTCACCAAGTTGATCAGGTGTAAAAAAATTATATACAGCAAACCGCAAATGACCATAAACATGACTTATAAATTCTAGTTAAAGTATTTAAACTAAACTCTGGTTACATGTTCAAAATTTTGTCATTTATGTTTTCTTCCCTGAACATCCTACTAGTGATATATATATTGTAGGTATCAAAAATGACTAACTAATCTTCAATTTTCAAAAGAGACTGTCCACACCTAAGAGGCCTTTAGTCATCGCATGTCTGACAGTACCAAGCCCACCTTGACCGAAGTTTTCATTTGGCTCTCTGGTCAATTGCTTTCTAAAACTGTCTATCTCTACCATCCAGTATACTGCAAACCAGGTTTCACGAAGATATCTTTTCTCTCACACCTATTGAAAAATGAGTAAACCTTAAAAAACTACTTAGCTTTAGTTGCATTAACATAATGCACCTTGACAACTACCAATGGCATTAAGGAAGTCAAAAACAGGTTAAAGTATTATAAATCTACCAGTAAACCAATGAATTAGCTAGAGGCCACACTTCTTGTTGCAGTATCGGTGACAATGCCACATATTACCCACACCAGCCCAAGTAAAAAAGGCGTATATTACCTAGTGTGTATTGCCACCAAAGTTGTCACGAAGTCTTGGGAAAAACTGAGCGCCAAATCTGATTTGATAGATCATAAGAATAGATCACAACGTAATCGAAGACATATATAGTAATGATGGTTAGTGGCTAGCAGTGGAATCCAATCAAAGACGGTATAACACAAGCAATTATGCTAATAATCATGGACAGTTTAGACATCAAAACAAGACTTTTCTGAAAGTTTCGCTGTGTAAGCTACATCTTCAGCAGGTTGTTCAAATTGGTATTAAAATTCGAAGTATATGTTCCAAAGGTATATACAATAATTTTGTGTGTAGATAATTCGTCAGGTTTGTTTTTCAGACTAGGTAATTATGATCTGTTATCATATTCTTATTTTTGGTGTTATCATCCAGAAATGTTGGGCAGTTAAAGTGTATGCATGTTAGTGAACACGTAGACATGTTTTTCGTTGTACTCATATGAAAATACAAAAACATCGTCATTGATAAGCAATAAATAATGGTCACTGCTCTCAAAGCTTCAATTAGACTTGTTATCTGGATGTCCACTTTCAGAGCAAGACACTATAATATCTTTGAAACTATGCTTAGATGTGGCTCAGTGGCTTAAGAACTCGACCTTCGAAGAATGGGTCCCAGGTTAGAAACAGCTCCACCTATTTCGGACTTAACAACCAGGTAATATCATAAACCTCTGGATGAAAAATGTGGCTAGTAGACCACCACATAAACGCGTACCAGTTTGATTTACATTATTATGCTTTTAACCTACCGATTTCATGGTTAAAGATTGAATGTACCATAAGTAAATTTTTAGTGCAAAGCTTACACGCAATGATAAGTTATATTCTAGTAATGTTTCGAGCAAAATTACTGAAATAAAAACTCATCATTGTGTGTAAACTTTGCATTAAAAATCTACTTGTAATACATTAAGTCTTTTCACAATGCATAAACTTTTCATTGACATAGAACGTACCCACATACTATCGAAGTTACAACATCTTCAACCGTGACAGATTTGTACATGAAAGCTCAGAAGGCGGAAGCGATAAACGGTTTCTCATGCCAATCAAGAAATTGATATGCATATATGGAACACTTAAACAATTCTTAAAAACCAAACTAACAAGTTTTATCGTAACACATGATTTCTGTTTCAAATCCTGTAAAATTCGCAAATAAAGTGTAAGATCTAAGGACAAGATTCTCAAGATGCCAAACTATCTGATGCAAATAACAAATGAAGGTATATTTCAGGTAAAAATATGCAGGACTCAACTGACAGCAGATACGTTGGCGCGGTAGACAGGCTTGCAAATCAAGAAGACGCGAGGTATTCTGGTCAAACGTCTGTACTCTCGACGTTATATAACACCACAAGGGCCTGTTGACTAGTATTGAACAAACAGCATTTACAACTATAGAGTGAACTGCTATGCTATGATAGGGGTCCGAGAGCGATAGGGTTTGTCAGCAGCAGGTTGGTTCGTATGCACGACCAGTAGTAATACTGCCTACCCCATGAGAGGGGACAGTAAGAAAAGATTATCGTCAAGAAAAAGACGCTCTCCTTGCCCTGAGGTTTACGGAACCCATGGTATGGGTTTATGGCTGGATTCAAATAAACAAATTGAAAACAAAATAGTCCAAAACGAGAATATGTGGTCGGCTTCAGACGGATGTCTTTTCAGTCCTGAGATCACGCAGCAAACGGTGTGTGCAGTCAGAAAGTGTCAACTGCCCTCACATCTCCGTCACGACTCACTTTATTTCAGATCACTATCAGCCTCCACATGTGAACACATTCCTAAAAGCTTCTGGCGTAGTAAGAAGAGGAAGCAGCTGAAACGTAGACTAACGAGTCTGCAAGTTGATTTTCAGCAGTGAACTCTGAGCGGATGGAAAACGCAGTGGTGATAAGTAGCAGTCATTGATTGGTGACACCATAATGGAGGATGAACCTGTGATTCGCTTGCAGAAGAAACCAAAGGGAAGCTGGGCGGAACACCGGAGAATAGCTTACCTAGTCTGTAGTAACCCGCTATTCAGTAGGATGCTGAATGGAGTACTGAGAAAGGTCATCCACCCTATTGCGAAGTTTGTTTCGAAACTAAAACTATGCAAAGCAGTAGATTTAGTCGGTTTGCCACAAGATATGCTGTGTGGAGGTCAAAATTTACGTAGTTAAGTAACCGAAATACTGAGTAGAGAAACAGAGACACCAAACAGTGCATGGGAACCTAAGCTAATCCCGTAGGAGCGATCGAAATAGCCAATTTCATTTCAACCCAAAGTAGAGAAGTCTTTGTCAGACAAGCAAGGGAGAATCACATTGGCTAACATCCTGCCCAAGATTAGAGGGTCCATAGTCATGCGACGCCTAACTGGAGCTTGAGAGCAACAAACTCGAGAAAACCAGACAGGTTTCAGACCTACACAACACAACATTAATCACATTTCTACGTTTCGACAGATTTCGAGGCAGATGCATACTTATCGGCGGCGGACACACTATATTTTTTTACCTGGAGGCGTAATTCGACTCTGTCGACTATGAGGTGTTGTAGCAATCTTTGACTGTGAAGTGAGTACTGAGAAAGCACGTCATAGTATTCAAAGCTCTATACTCGAACTAATGTAGCCATGTTAGGGTTTATGTGCGGTTTTCATCTGAAATGACGACGACCAGGGGTGATGTGCAGGGATACCGCCTGTTAGCATTCCGACTTTGTACAGACATGGTAACGCGCATAACCCTAGGTAGATCTAACTTTAACAGAGGATATGGAATGAATGTGAGCCGGATATATATCCAGCATATGGATTCACTTCACAAGACACTTGTTCACACCAAGAGTTTAATTGAGCGTAAATTGGCATAAATTACAGTTATCTGTTAATAATAAGCCTTTCAAATGACAAACTGCAGTGGCTACTTACCGAATCATGTTCGAAAGCATCCAGAAGATATAGTGTAGTGACAAATTAGGAAATCTAACTCATCGATTATGTGTTTGCATGAAACTGTAAACTACAAATATGGCATAATTGAAGATATTAGATGAATACTCAACCTTTGGAAGTTCCAAAGATGGTTGATAGATATTCCTAGACCAAACAACATGCCTTCACTGTATGTGGCAGATAAAGTCTACATTTTGGATGAAATTTTCAAAGATAGAACCCTGTGTTACATTCCTGACAAAGATATATTAGGAAATGGTGACATCCTTAATTTTTTTGATTCTTGTCGTGTCCACACCCCGAAGTTACACGCCATATAATCGGTTTTTACATCAGTCCCAAAGACTATCACCACAAGTTAGATGCAATAAAGGCAAAATACACTTCAGATTATTTCTAGATAACCCATAAGCCAAAGTGGTGTGTAATTCAACTGAAGTCAAAACTACTAAATCCGTTTCCTTCTGCTTTCTGATGTAGATCTAAATAAACTGTTAAAAACTGAAAAAAAAAATAATTGGCCAAGAATGCTAATAAAAGTATGGTTATTAGTGATTACCAGTGTTAAATATAATAAAGTAATAAAAGCTTTGATATTCGTACAACAGAAAAGCATACGACTTCAAGTGATAAACATATTTGTTTACAACTTTAGTACCAGATAAAAATAACCTAAAGTTGGTCTTCATCAAAATCATCATTTCCATTGCCGCTTGAAACAGGATGAACTGGCCATGTAAACAACTGTCCATCGTTTCCACAAGTATACAATTCTAACTGTCGATCATTCCAAACACAAGCCCGTATCTAATGGTAGTGAATAAGTAAAATAAGCGCAGCGGTTATTGTATCAACTGGGAAACTGCGAATGATCTATAAAACCATATATATATATATATATATATATATATATATATATATATATATATATATATATATATATATATATATATTAATCAGTTAAGAAATCAAGAATTGAGGTTAAAAAAGCAACACATCAAAACTGATCATCCTGTGTAACAGTCACTGCAAAAAACCACATCAATTCGACTACGTGAGTTGATATGTGAATCGAAGCACAACGTACCTATTTTATCTCTGTAGATGAAACTGCATTACATAGATATGTATGATTTTAACCTTATAGGAGAAAATCAGTTATGGTACAGTGAAAGTACTTCATTAATGAACGGCTCTAAAAAATAAATCAAAAACTCAACCATGTGTTTGTATCAAACTATGAGGTGCATCACCAGGGATAATGTTAAGGTTTTGAAATAGTGGTTCAATGACTTAAAGCCATGCAACGACAAACAGAAAACTGCTGTGCTAAAAATGAGTGTTTTTATCGGGTGTTGTTTAGACAATATAATAAAAACAACATTAATGGAATCAAATAACGAGACCTTAACTTCAAAGGTTCGCTTCAGCCGCATACACCATTCTAGAACATTCATCACACATCATCATCATTTATATGTTAATCTTTTGGTTAATGTCGTATACTCCATATTTGTTTCACTATTTTGTATGCCTATGTTTGAAGAACGAAATGTTGTGTTAAATACACCAAGATCACATGTGTAAAGTATGTCAGCCACATTTTGTTATCCATTTCCTGTGATTTTTCAAGATTATATAGAGATGAAAAGAACCTATTAGATAACATGTTATTGCAAAGTGCAGATGTTGTTTTGATAACCTAACCTAAATGCTACAAGAATATAATTCGCAACATTGAATTACACATGACTATGTAGACTGTAGCACAAGATAGAAAGCAATTTATCTCTTGGAGAAATTGAATACTGAATGACTGACTGGCAAAACCAACGTAGAACCTCACACACAATTGCATGAGCTCAATTTGACATACTTCACAGTATTATACAAAGACAGGTGATAGAATAAGAGTGATATCAATCCAGACAAAGTTGTATGAAAGAATAAACCTCGTTAGGTGAATTTTCAAGATTCAGCGCAGAAGTCTATCTCTTCTTAAGGTACCTGAAAGAGAAGATTTATGTGGTCACAGGACCCATGAGAAATCTGCTTGAGTCCTGTCACATACCGCCTTTAGCGAGATGTTATTTTGAGGTATTGTTGTTCTAACCCCGGATAGATGGCAACCATACCACTAGCATTGGAAGACTGTGGGGCAGGGAGAAGTGTGTTATTTTGGCAAAGACCTTTTCTGACCCAAGGGAAAGCAGCATCAGCGTGGCACTGTTGATCATTCAAGAGAAACATCTTAGTACTGTTACATCTCATCTAGCTAGCAGCAGTATGACTTCGCCCTCAGACCTCCATCATCATAGTTAAGTAATTTAAACTCCAACAGTACCCGATTTTCATCTTACCACTACCCAAAAGACCTTTCTGGTGTGGTAGGACCTAGATAGAACAAGCATCCTATCAGCATAGCTTATTGGGTAATTGTGATAAGCAAGTGCGACCACCATGTCAAGGCAGCAGTTATCGGTCCGGCGAAATTGAATAACGCATTGAGAATACTATTTGCTGAGTAAGATGACGTTACCGTCATGTGATTTCACAAAATAAAATAAGTTTACGGGTAAGTTTGTTATCTGAGCAGACATTTTCAAAAGATAGGGGGAGAAATGATATCAAATGATGTATTTACGTGGTACTAAAAAAAAACACGTAAACAAATAAATGACTGAGATAAATTATTGTGGTGACGATAATGGTAAACAATAGCTAAAATGAAGGACGGCATGAATAAGCATAAAAATTGGAGTTGCAGTTCATTGGTTTAAGGAGATGACTCTCATCCAATGGATAACGGGTTCGAACCCCACGCCATCTACCGAGGTTTGAGCAACCATATAGTTGTATCATTAGCCCTCAAATGACACATGTGGCTCATTGCCTACTGCATGAATGTGCACAAGGTCCCTGAGTGCATTCAGATTCCATCAAATTAAAGTTTTTGAAAAGTTGGGTGGAGTTTTGGGTGAAAATGTCACTCATTACCAGGGGAGTAAGAAGTGCCTAACTGTTCTATTTTTGCGAACAATTCTGACTGGACTGATCACATAGTAAAGGCCTCAGCAATCCTTTGATTTGTTAAATCCTGTTAAGGAATTCAATGCCCCAACCTGGTTATCCGTATCAAATAAGTGACGAGCTATGGCACTGATGAATGAGCCTAGAAGACATAGACTCTTAGGGACGTTCTGTCCTACGATCGAAATAGGTAGCTGAAAACTCTAAGTGATATGACTCATAATTGATCTCAGTGGTGCAGATGCATCTACACATTATCTTCATCTTCATCTCATTCTCTCTTGTTCTTTTATCAGGTCCTTCTACCTTTTTTGACTACTACCTCGCTTAATCTTTTATCTACTTTTATACAATGATAGATGTGACAACTTGAATTGCTACGCAGTACTGCCACGTCCTATGTTGATATTAACTAACTTCTATATACATATATTTGAACTGATGAGTACAGATAGACTAAAGGAGAGTTAAAAACCGTCTAATTTGAACAGAATGATAAGCAAGACGCTTGATACAATGAAACGAATACTAAGCACACATATACCTTAGAGATTAAATTTCTTATCCACTTGTTGATCCTCACCGTGACAGATCTCCTTTGAAAACCAAAAAGATAAACACCAATTTCTTTTCCAGTGTTACACTTCTCTCTTTTCTTCTTACTTCTCCAAGAACTTCTTTGGATGACAGTTTTATAGAGAAGAAACTGATCAATTAACTCAAGTTTTGGTAGCCATTTTTTGCCTTCTGATATAACATACACACTAAACCCAGTCACGTTTTTTACGAAAGTTGAAAAAGTTAAGTTGTTGTTATTTACCGATTGAAACCTGTGCAACAAGCAATATATGAGGAAATGATCACATTTTGGAAGTGTTGTGAATTTCCCCTAGGAAATCAAACTAACTAGTTGGGCTGACCGAACATGTGGCTCTAGATAACTAGCAAACCTTAATGTGACCTGTCAGTAAAAGTTCAGAATTCTGAGTGAAAATCATATCGTGTTTCTTGTTGACTAGATTTAGAGCTGTGCTATTTTTCACAGAAAAACAACGCTAAATTTTATGAAGGAAAAATTAAAGAATAACAGAGAGAACTGAGGAACAACCACAGTGAAGGATGTATGAAAAATTCATTTCCAACCCACACTAATTAACGCACAATTTTAAAATAAATTGGCAGACGGTAGACAGCATTTCGATAGTAAAATTCATTGTAGCGAAGGAACAATATACGCATACCAAAAATCCTAAAATGAGTAAAGTGTACCCGACGGGTATGTGTTGAGTGTACGAAAAAATCGGATCAACACTCAAAGCAAAGTCACTGAAAGTCTGAGAAACTCACTTTCGAAAAATGTCGCGTAATAACTCTGGTTGATGAATCATTTTTGGATGCTGAAGCAATTAACAACCGGTTCCTGACAGGAACAAAAGCACATAGTGATGAAGCTCCCCACAGATCTCCCGTGGACCCGTAGGTACTAGCCAATCTCACGGGTAGTATAGATGGTTGTGGACTCTGACAAGCTCTCCCTGAAGAACTGGAACTAACAGAGGGTTGACCTCTGGTGTTCGTGAACTGATTGTTCGATGAATTTAAAATCACATTCCCAAAATTTACCGGGCGCGATCGAGGGATATTTGATGATCCCCATTTACCATGTGAAGGACTTTCCCAATCCTCAGGACCAGATGTCCATATACGAAGACAGACAGCATCTAAGGTCAAGCCAGAACCACCCCATGAAACCAAGTGCAATCCGTCTGGAGAAAAAGTTAGACCTAACACAGGTCCTGTATGTGCGACAGCTAGAAAAAAATGACATGAAGACGGGAACAACTATCAAGATACCGACAAAAGGTTATATAAGTTGTGAAGCCATCTAGGGTGTGCATGTCATATAAAAAGGTGGGAGGTCATTGCGATCGAATTACTTTTAGGTGGGCATCTATGCAAATTCTTTTGCGAAAATCAGCTACAAAATGGATGCTAATCACGGTAATCTTACACTATAACATCTATCGTTAACTGTTCAAGGGAGTAAATATTAAAAACCCTGTTTGAAATTCTATTAATTACCAGAAATAAAAAGAGTAGAACTTAGGCATTTGATTTACTAGAAGTATCACACAGTGGAACAGTATTATTTACTGGATTACGTTTCAGACACAATTTATTGTTCATGGTCATTTCAAGATAACTCCACAACCTTGAAACATGGTTTATGTAGTTTTTATTTTCTTGCCTCCTTTGTGATATGGGTATTAGGATTTTTCATATATCCGGAACAGGTGTCGAGTCATTCCTGTTGTATGCATTGGTTGCTGATTCGATAGGAAAAAGATTCTGTTATGAGTTTCCCCCTCCACCGCGCTAGGTTAGTTTTTAGGACTTTCACCCTGTTCCATCCCATTGTGTAGTTGAGTGTAATTGTATGCACAGTTATGGCCGAGCTTTTCCAGAAATTCTTTATTCAATTATGACCTAGGAATTTTGACATAGATACGTTTTTGTGCTCGGATAGCCTAATTGACTTTGGTCGACTACTTTGGCTTGTATATTTGATCTCGCAATCATTCGAAGGGATTTGGTAAACCAAATTATTCTGCTTGATTGGATCAATAGATCTCCTAATCTACAAAGGTTATTTCTAAGTGACTTTGAAGCTTTAAATAGTACTCAAATCCCAGCCTTATTGAGAATTTTGCGTAATGTCTTTAAGGTGCCTTTCCTGTATGGCAATGACAGATAGACAGGAAGAATCAAAGAAGAACCTCACACACAATTGCGTGAGCTCGATTTGACATACTTCACAGTAATATACAAAGACAGGTGATAGAATAAGAGTGATATCAATCCAGACAAAATTGTATGAAAGAATAAACAACTTGAAGATACAGGTTAGTGCGAATACTCAAAAGTTAGATATCAACGAATGAATACATCTGCGCCACTGAGACCGATTTTCAGCCACGTTACCGAGAGTCCTCAACCAGAGTCCTTTCATCCCAATGGCCTAAACCAGGGAATCTACATTGCGCCATACGACTCAGACCAACAGTAAAAGACTTCATCAACTGATGTCACATCTTGATTTGGCCACCCTGAACCCTATTGCATCTTAATCCGACTTCCCCTATCATGGTACGTCGAGGTAGGCGGTGACTTGGCATGCGCAGTACATGTCCAAACCATCTCAGCCCATGAAAGTTTTCAAACTCATCGAATTCCTTTCCTTCCTTGCCTAGTACCCTTCGTCTGATCTCAACAATGCTCACACAGCGATTGTATCAAACACCTATGGTCAAAACACTGTAACCGCTTCATGTCTCACAGTCGTACAACAGGACAGAAAGGACTGCAGAGGACTATACCCAACCATTGATAGGTAGTCGGAAATCTTGCCAGTCAGCACCACAGATGACGAAATTCAGTAAATGCCAAACAAGCCTTCTGTATCTCAGCTATGTTATTGTCAGCAACCAATCATGATCCAGAATGATGCAACTCCACAAGTAGATGAAGTCGTCGACATATTCCGCACTTCACTTCCTATCATTAAACTGGGAGTACTTGTAGCAGACTAGTCTTGAAGCATTATCTTACATTTGCCAGGTACGAAACGCATGCTAAACATAGATATCTGCTCAAGGAGTTGACAAGACCCTGAAGTTTGCCAGTGTCTTCACTGAGGAGGACAGTATCGTCTGAGTACTCCAAGTCAACCAGATGAACTCCAAGGAACGGATCAACCCTGTGGTATCAGAGGTACTTATGTGCATTGACACATCCGCAACGAAGTTAAACGACAACCGTAACAGCGGTTATCCATTGCGGATGACAACTTTCCAGCTCCATGTGTGTTCTTTTTGAATAACTTGGGAGGGATTTCGTGGGATCTGGCTTAATTTTCTAGCTGTCCATACTTAAACATTTCACACTGGCGCATAGAGAAACAGATAACAATGGGACGAACAAAAGGCAGGTGAAACAATTTAAGACGGAGGACAAGTATCGAGAAATGGAGAGGTGCGTTTGCTACACTGTAACTATCTTTGCTCTAAGTCAAATCCAAACCATCATTTCGAATTCTTACGGTTTCACAAGACAGAAATAGCCAAATAGTTGCCAGCTAAGAAGCAGTCGATTTCTCTAGGCTAAGACAGAAAGCGTTTGTATACAGATACGGAAATAATGAAGATACAAGTTAATACTATCAGATCGGCATCAGATAAAAACATGGTTCCCTGGATTTTAGGGCATAAACAGATGAGAAGGCAGATCGAAATAGTGAGCGGATTCAAATACAGCTCTATCTAACGAGGTTTGGGCAGTCAGGTAGTATTACTGACCCTCATACAGGTGTGGCTTATGGCCTACTACATGGATGTGCACAAGGTTGCTGAGTGAATTTCCATTTCCGAACCTTGCTACTTATATAACACAGCATACAGGTTCCGTTTATGGTATGCCACAGCCAATATACTAACCTCTCTTCAAAACTCGAAGGTTCGTTAGATCCCGTATAGCAAACTTCATGGCTGAAAGATGTTTTGCTAACTCAAACCGATAATTAGAAGTAGAAATTTGAGAGATTCTGTTGACTACTCATCTATAAACTTGAATCTCGATAGGTTCTTTGGCAAAAGATATATAGGACGACAGTGCTAGGAACCTGAGGGATAATTGACCACTAAATTCTCAGAATGCACACAAAAAAAATCCAAAAAACACAAGTAACTGAACTACTAGTGGATCATATGTGTACAACAGTACCTCTGAGGTCAGATGACCGACAATTGTCGAATATATTTGAAACCCTATTTTTACCCTTGTTACTAAGACTTATCAAACTTTCCCTTCAGAGCCTAAGGTCATTTTAAATCAGCATCCATCATTTTCCACCTTAAATGGATTTCCAGTTACGTATGTCAACTGATTTAACCTTTCTGGTTAAGAGATATTCCATCTTCTGTGTTCTCATCCTACGATTATCACTGAGCAGATTCTAAGCTGCTTGACAATAATCTGAATATAGACAGAGTTGTACAGTTTACTATCGGTAATTACAATAAAAATCCTGCGATAGAATTTAGTGGTTTCTATACAATAGCATAAAATACTTCAACGGCTTACCAAACTAACAATAATAAGAGTAAGGAGAATGAATAGGAAACTGAGTTGTGTTATCACACAAAGAGACATATAGACCAAACGAAGAACCGCTGAAAATCACGCATCCGAAAACAATTGTTTTTTTTTTTCATACTTCAGGGGTTATCAAGAAAGTCGAACCACAACCTAAAACATTTTTAAAGTATTAGTCTTCATTTATATATTAATGATGGATAGTAGCTAGCAGTGGAATCTAGGAACCGCGTTTGGGACTCGTCAGCTGGATGTATCTGCATCCCAGTGAGTGCTGTCGTTCTCACTGGGACTCGAACTCGGGACTGATCGCTTTAAACAACCAAAGCATTATCTACTAGACCACCGAACCACGATAACCACTTCTTGTGGGACGGGTACAGTTTTGCTTGTATTAGTCTTCACCTTTTACTGATTCAACTTCAACCACCACAAATTCGTAAACATATATATACATGTATAATAATATAAAATAATAATAAGGAAAGCTGTCACCAACCTTCACTAGAGTAGACCAAATCAATTTGTGGACCAATTTCTTTGTTCAAAGAATATATCGGTTTCAATGGAAACCTGATATCCCAATATAGTATTTTTCCATCACGTCTAAAGAAAAAAATTCAAGTTGGCAGAATGGTGGATTTTATTTAGCAGTAATATAGTATTCAAATCGGGGATTCAGTAGAATAAAAGAATCAAACTAATTCGCATTTACAGTTGTACAATCTACAATCAGCTTGATTGGTAGAATTCATGAAGAATCAGTAAACAACTGAGGTTAAAACAAGAGTTAGATAGTTTTGAGGTCGGAAAAACTCTGAGAACACTCCTTGAATGTGAAATGATTGTTTTTGTCAGATCAACATAAGATAGTTTAATAGGAAAAACACTACCATTCCTTTTGATCAAAACAAAAAGAGTTGAACACAACCATGGGTGCATTTGACAGCACATGTGTGGCAAGTCCAAAAAATACCAAACGTCTCATACCATTAGATGTCTACTACTCGGGGTAACTAAGAATGAAACTTTGACTTGATATCTTTTTCTACTATCTACAAGAAGTTCCGTTAAATTTTACTGCTCAACATTGCTTGCCCAACTAATTAAATACAACACAGTCGTTAATAAACCATCATAGGAAAACACGGTGCTTAAAAAGAATGCAGTTTTATACGATAGCTGGAACATTATTAAACATAGGTAACCATTTCAAACTTTCAACAGATAGAAAAGTATTTTCACTTTTCTCAATCATATCATTAATGTAATTTCGGTGAAAAATTATGTCGTGACAGATGACTATCAGGAAATATATCTTAACAGTTGGTGATGTGTACATCTAAACAACTAAACGTGTCTTCTGAATAAGTTTTCCTGTATTTATCATTTAAATTTTTAATATCCAGTGACAGCTCTGCTGCACATTTCTCTCAAGAACGTGAAAAATCATCACTCTTCGACTCATTACTGTCGGCAGATGGTTCATATATTTCTAATTATACCATTAATAAGCGAATGAATCACGTCCCTAAAAGCAAGTGCAACTTCCCTGTCAATAACAAGTATCTGGAAAAAATCACATTAAAATCAAGAATAGGTGTACGTCAGCCTTATATTCCGTACAATTTGATTGTAAAAACGATTTTAATAACTTCAAAGGTCTACGTATACTTCAGAAAGACGTTTATGCTGATAATGTTGTCTAGAATGACAATAAAAGATTCACAATGAAACAATCCAGCCCAGAGAACACAATCAAAATGATTTCAAATTCTCTACATTATTACTTTCCGTGTATTCCACGTCCTTAGTTGAATTATCTGTGTCTACGACATACGCATGCTTATACACCTATGGTACATCTACGGCTAGGATCAGACGGACATCTGAAAAAAATTGCTGGCATTACTGCATAATTTTTCAAGTCCACACAAATAGTATCATCAAACCAGATAGAAAACAGTAAAGTAAGAGGATTCGCAAGTGCAGATGTTTTCTAAAGTCCTAGTCGACCATCAAACAAACCGGAAAAAAATAAGAACAGGTGACTGAATAACAGTGAAGATGAGCCATGAATGCATCTGCTAAACTAAAAGTGATTATCATCAATGTCATGTAGTCCCCAAATATCTTCCATCTGATTTGAGGATACCCACCTATCAGGAAGGCCATACTTCCATACACACATTAAAATAGAAATTACATGCTTCATGCAGAGCTGTAATATCCTACTGCAGTCATTCTTACTCCCCTCCAAACCCAACTCTACCTCTGCTAATACTACATTCCGCGCTGCACATTGGCTCGACACGTGCAACATGTCCCAACAATCTGAAAGGTTCACAACCTTATCAACTAAAACATCTCGCACTCAAAAGTCTATGCCTAACCTGTTCGCGTCTCCTGCAGTATTCCCATAGTACAGGGACGGTGCCAAAAAAGTAGCGCTCGTCAAGTACATCAAGCCTTGTTGAATCCTCCGCCAAGTCTCACAAACACATAGTAGGACAAAGAGAACCGCCAAGCCGTACACTTGACCACATTTAGTGGATATCTCACACATGTCATAGGTGAGGCGATTTGCCAACCCAACATTATCTCTCTATCCTTATTCAATAGGTCACCAATCTACCACAACTAATACGAATTCCTACGTGAGCAATGTGGCCAACACCCCATATAGTTTCACTCCCTATCGCTAAACGAGGTCACAACACAGACCAGTCCTGAAGCATTAATTGTATTTGAAATGCGAGAAACGCATTCCAGGTACTCTCAAGTTATCTCTTAGTACTGGGTGATGATTGAAGCTGAGATGAAAATCTGGACCTGACAAGACTATATCGTATATTTCAAAGCAACTGAAGAATCCATCAGGATGAAATCAGTCAATGTTACGCTAGGAAGAAGTATGACTTTCGTAAGTACGTTTATAAGACCGAATTTAAATAAAAATGGAGTGGACACTCCGAAAAAACGCGTTTCGAATGTACATATCATCCAATGGCTCACTGTAGATTCTGACATAACTACGAGGGTTCGACTACGGAGCTTTCAGTTACATGATGAACTTACTGGGTACCACTTATTTGGAGGCATCACTACTGAAACTCTCTGTTGACAGTCAAGAAATACAACCTGTATCAGACACCGCACAGACCACATTGCTATCAATTGTCGCAGGAAACGATCAGTGGAGGATTGTCGTTTCTCCTGAAGCACGTGTTTGAACAACGATCACGGGTTGCTTCGAGCACGTGTATGTCTGCCCCTAAGTCGACGTAGGAAAATTACCGCAACAAGACAATTCCGAGTGCGGCTGGACGATGGGAATAATAGGGCTGCTTTCAGCGAGAAACTACTTTGATAGTTATCGGAAAAGAACAACATCCCCCATTCAGAAGAAGCCTGATGCCATTTTCAGTGTTACAAGCAGCGTCAAAAGCCTTAACTGACTCCCAGAAAGTGGTCAGAAATGGTAAGAGAATTTCAGCAGCTTTAATAAATTAATGGATATACGTGAACGCATTCCGCAAGCTCTGAACACAATGAAGAGCGGAAGCAACTAATAGCAGAGAAGGATTTCCAACTTGCTCGCCTGAAGGACGACTGGAAAATTGGTTGGAACACTTTGGGTAACAATTTAACTGGCTTCCAGCTAGTATTACACTTTCCGCTATCCGGTCGGATCCTGAATGAAGTATCGAAATAGGACCTCTAAATATTGCAGAAATTGAGAACGCTGTAAGTACTGTGAAACAAGGACGGATAGCAGAGCCAGACGCACTTGCACCGGAGGTATTCAAGGACGTCGGTCAAAGATTATTGCTTGGATTAAGTTCATCCAGTATTCTTCTATCACTTCTGTTAAATTGTCAGGCAGCCTTGAATCTAACTGGGTTTTATTTGTAGTTTCGAGATAACGTACAACCACTTCGGTAAAAAAAGAATAAGGGACGATGATTTTCGTAACCATCGAAAAACTGAATAAATTAACCATATCCTGTAGTTTGATTATAATGGAAAGAGATTTCCAAAAACAGTCATGGCTGGCAAAGTTTTGGGAGTATGACATCTGGCTGGCGTTAGATTATTACCACGAGGGTGTTAGACGTGCCGGAATAACCAAAAATAGTTTATTAAACAATTGACATCCATTCTTACTTATGTCACAAACGTACTAATGGATATTTCCCTCTCGTAATCTGACTTTACAGAGACTGACCGTGTCACGAGAGACTTTTTATTAGATCTAGAGTACGCATATGATGTAGGTGAGGCTGCTGGAAACATGCACAGTCTACTCGACACCTATAGTAGTAATCTGAGAATGTCTGTCGTAACTTTCTCACCACACAAATCCAAATTATTGCTCCAGGACCGGTCTTTGCCGGTGTTTTGTTTAGCTATAAGTAGTGAAATAGCTAAGTGCGTTGACCATTTTACCTAACTGTGAAGTTGGAATAACCATCGCAGGTCAGTGACAGAAGAAATTTCAGCACGGATAGAAAAGGTTCACTTGGCTTTCATCAACTCACTTTATTTATGGCGTGATATCTGATTGTCAATTAAGGGTCAAGCGTATTGTGGTGCATTTTTTCCTATTTTACCATATGGCTGTGAAAAACAGCCATCAAAGTTAGGGGACGTGATAAGGTTTCAAGTATTGACCAAAGCTGCCTTCGTAACATGGTGTTACCAAGCTAGTAATATAGAGGTCAGATGTAGTTTCGAAGAGTAAAGTCGGTTGACGAGGTCGTTAACATCCATCGATTCAGATGGCTGAAACATGTGTTACGCATACTTGGTCACCATTTGTCCCTTCTCACAGTGTTATATTAAGCAGGTTCAGGTTGGATAAAGTTTAGAAGTGGTTAGAATAAAGCATGGCACCAGTCTATAAAGTTTTTGACTGTTGGTCTGAGCCATGTAGGGAAATGTAGACTGCTCACTTGGGGTCACCATGATAACGGAAACCAGTGGTTGGACACTAGGTGGTATGGCTCCGAACCGATTTCGGTGGTGTGGATGTATCCACAAATTATTTTCATACGGTATTCTCTCATTCCTCCTTGTTCTCTTTTGATGACTTTCTACCACTTTTTGGCTACTTTCTTTTGCATCCCTTTATCTTCCATCTTGATGTATTTTAGTTTGATGTGCTGATATGATATGTGGTAACTAGGACAGTTAAGCAGCAGTGTCAAGTACTATGTTTATACTGTCTATCTGTCACTAGACACCAAAGACGGGGTCCGTCTGTTTTCAATAGGTTCGCCAATTCAGAGCTTCACTTCGGCATCCGTTGGTCGTGAGACTTAGAATCTTTGAAAAAGGCAGGTAAAAACTATTCCTTCACCATGGTTATCATGAGATTTCTCTTTTTTAATTGAAGACTAGGACAATTGGTGATTGAGACCCATTAGACGGGATATCTTAATCATATACCCCAGTTCGAACTGGCTAACGGTGATCGTTTAAGCATATATCCATGAGTAATAGTCTTCTAGCAACCCTCTCAAACAGACCCGAAATCGATATACACCGGGTCTAGCGTCTCTCTTTATGCCATAAAATCGTGTTGATCAGAGATCTACGGTCAT